ATAACTATTTTCTTCCTGTAAAATATATATTTATTTATTTATTTTTTACTCCCATGGGTTTGATTCTCCAGCTTCTTCTTTATTTTGTGAATGCTTCACTCACTTATTCAATTTTCAGCCACTTCCTGACATTGTGTAGACAAAATGTAGACAAATGTATGCAAAATAAACTTACAAATATGTTTTCTCAAACTTGAAAATTAAGATTGTGATGTTTTTTTTTTGTATTTTGTAGTTTAGTAGAACACCTAGCTGCTTTTATGGGGTCAAATTTAAAAAAGGATGAGAGGAGTCACTTCCTGCTCTTCAGAGGCTGAGATAGACTCTATTTATAGAACTGAGAAAAATAGATCTGTTTTGTTGTTTTCTATCAGAATCTGATTTTATTGTATCACAGTGGTAGACAGAATATGCCACAATTTTACAAACCAGAATAAAATACTGGCTTGCTTCTTTTTGAGGCCCACCAGGAAGTAGTGAGGATTGGTTGCCACTGGTTCTGTCATATTATGTTTACGCTGTCTGGCCTCACCTTTCTTTATCTGAGGTCGATGTTCTGCAGATTGAAAGCATTTTTAGTTATGGTGGGCATGTTTTTTAACAGTGGAGATCAAAATTAACAACATTGGAGCCAGTATCAGTTTACAGTAACTCACCTTTCAGATTAATGAAATAAGTTTGAGATGCAACTTCCACATGTGCTGAGAATATCCAAATTAAAATGAGATGACATCATTAAAAGGGGTGTGAAAGCTAAATCTTTCAAATTTAATTAACTCATTAGTTAGAGATAAAAAGGCTGCATTAATATTATATCAGATATTAGACACAACCTTCCTGCCATTACTGAGGAGTCAGCCACTGTCGTTTTTCTTTTTTTTCAAGCTAGACTAATTTTACCAAAGTCTACCGCACATCCTACCTAAACTGCCACCTTATCATCTGTTCCTATCATGTCCCTTATTTCCTTTGCTTCCACTCTCATCATTTACAGTCCTGTAACTTTTGTAATTGTTGGAATTTTCATATTGTGCTTTGTATGTTTCTTTTTTAGTTGTATTGAAACACATTTTAACAGATTGTCTCACCATAGTCATTGAGGCATGTTAAGCCACGCAATGCACAAAAAGAAAAGAAAAATATTGTTAATAAATAAGTATTCTTGGCCGTCAAAATATTTGAGGAAAACTTCATATATGCTGTTTCTGTCCATTTAAGAGGATGCCATTAACTTGTATATTTTCCGAGCTCTGAAACAAACAAAAGTCCAACCTTCTACTTTAATATTTATATAATGCGACAATTCACATGAATGCTATCCCACTTCAGGCACATTTTGCTTGTCATTTCTATACATTTCACAGGCATTAAACAGCACATGGAGACTGCTTCGAGCAAAATTTCTGGTCACAGGATCTTTCTTTGGACTATGTGCTGTAAAATGACACAAACATAAACGCGTTGTAATTTGCAACAGGAGCTGCCGTGTTATTTATGTGCAATAACATCGGGAGAGCTGTTTCTGAAGCTCCTGGCAGCTCACTGGTCGTATTTGGACCGTATTTCTGTGGAAATGCGACACACAAACTGTACAACTTATTTACAATGTTGACAGTCTCATCCTGGGACTGTTTTGACACTTCATACTCAGGTTTCCAGTGAAAAGCAAGATGCCAAAAAATAACTTATGAAACCAGGGAAATGTGCAGTGTAGATATGAAAATTATTCAGAATATTTTCATGTATTTTGCGTTTTTCAAAACATTGATATTTCTTAAAGAATGAATCCATTCATGAATCTCTGCACTATAAAAAAGACATTTACTTCGTTTTGGACATAGGCCCTGATCTGTCTCCTCCCTCAAGGAGAAACCAATCACTCAGTCCCTGGAGGAACACCAGCTGGCATCTGAACCGACTGTGCCATTTGGCCTTGTGAAGATTGACTATACTTTTCTTCGTTCTTGCCTTTTCAGTCATCAAATTAATTCCTTGTGCTCACAGGAAATTTCTGCCCAAAGGGAGAAAAAAAAAAAACATTTCCACCCAAGTTCAGCCAACAACATTGCCTATTTATTACAACATCTCTGTTTTTTAATGCAAAGCATCAGTGTAATTATGGCGATAAGAATTTAAATGGTGTTTCTGTGCCAAGATGGAACTCTATTTGTTAGATCTAGCTGTAAGGTTTTAGTCAAATATGTGGAGAGTTTAGAGTAATAAATCATGACAGAGTGTCTGTCCTGGTTTCCCAGTATGAGGTCATGCTTGTTTCTTCTACCCTGAGGAGTCCTTTGTTGTCTGTACTGGTGTCTAATTCACAATCAGAGTGAAAGAGAGGCAATTTAGGCAAACGAAGTCAGTCAATTATAGCTTTCTTTCAACTCTAGCTTCTTCAAAATTCATCAACACAAATACATCAAAGACCAGAACAAGAGCTTATTTTACACCAATTTTAAGGAGTTTGCATTGGCTTCACCTCAGCCTCAGAGCTGATTATAAGGTTCTTTTATTGGATTACAAACTCCATATAATTGTTGCCCATGTATGAAAAGAGTGTTGACATTTTTGAAAACCCTTTTATGTAAGGCTTTTACTTGAATATCCATTCTTTATCATATTTCCATTTACTTTTTAATAGTACTTTGGTCTGATTAATTGATATTGAATATATTTGCGTGTGCAGTTATTCATTGAAAATGAATAAAAGCCAGTACATTGTACACTGGGTAATAGCAATGTACTTTTACAAAATGAGAAGGATTGGTTGATGTGTAGATTACTGGATTAAGAGTAATTAAAATACCTTTATTTATGCTGATAAACATAAACACAGAATAGATAGATAGATAGATTTCAGCACTGGATAGCGACATTTTTCAGCACCGGACAGCGCCATTTCAGCACCAGACAGCGCCTAAACTACCAATACAAACTCCTGCTAAACTCAAGCCTGATGTTTGGAAATGTTTAACCTGCAATGAGACACACCAGGTCCAAATTATGTCTTTTCAAGTCTCCCAGGCAAACAACAACCACAAGTTGCCCATAAAAACACCAAAAGCCCACTGAACAGAGGGCTTAGAGATTTCCCCTTTTGAGAAGAAAAGATGCTGTGTACTTGAAGGTGCTCGGCACCAAATTTGGGAGAAAATCTACCTTGGAAACGGCCAAGGTATATCTTTATACGTTAACAGGCTTGAGGCCATGGTTGGGTGACATGTGTGTCATAGCTGCCTGTTGTATGGGAGGAAGGACAGACGGGGATGTCACGGCTGCCCTGTCTCCAAGCCAGTCCCTTAAAAAAAACAGCCTACATCTGCATCCCGTGCAGTGGAAATAGCGGAGAAGAAGGTAACAAACACAACGACATTTGTGTCACAGTAATCCTTTGACCAATGAGACACAGCTTGATTGAAGCGTGGGGAGATACACAGTTTTCCGCCCTCGCATGACAATCGACGACATACTGTAGGAGGCTAGGCTATCCCCACCCCCTGCTGTAAGGTAGAAATATCTAGCAAATTGGGTAGATGTTCAGGGATCTAAGAGCTTTCTGAGCTGAGACTACAATTAAATGACAAATGGACATCCGCAGAAGTGGGAAAGGAAAATTTGTGCCACTGTCTCGCCTGTAACTGTAAGTGAATGTTTCTGTGGGCCTTATTAAGCACAGATGTGGTGCATTTCATAGTCCTGTCATTTTTCAGGCTACCACGAGGTGACTCACATCAATTAAGAGACATCCATGCATGTTTGGAGAAGTGCTGTGGATAGGCTCAGCAGAAGCTGGAAACCTCTCTAGACACCGCTCATGCTGAGCATGATGACTTCAACGTCTTGAAAGCATTGAGAAATTGATTTATTAGATTTTTACCACAGGGATTAGTTAGTAACCAATTATATGTGATCTTAGTGTACAGAGGAAGACGGCAAAAGAGTAAATCACAAGGAAACGTGTGTGTTGTACTTTTATTGACCACTAACGTTGTGTACTGTTGCAAAAAGTGAAAACTACCTCCCTCACATCTTGTTGGGTTAACATGGCTGCTCTGAGTTTGCCACACGTCTGCACACAGCTGGAAAGGAAAGGCTGTTGCTAGGACACCGAGTCCTATTTAATGAATAATGTGAAATAAATTTCTTTTGACTGGCTACTTCCTGCATTTGTTCATTTCATTTAGTTTTTTCATACGGGTGACAACAGCAAGAGACTTAGTTGCAGGTTAATAAAACATGAAATAGATGTTTACAGGGTTTCTAACTGAACCCCATTTATCAGTCCGATGTGAGGTGCCTCAAGTGTGAACACTGAATGTTGCATTATTAACCGGGAAGCAATTACAGGATATAAAAGTATACAGCCTTAGAACACAGTGGAAAAATCTACAATGACTGAAATTACTGCATGGATTTGTCTGCATGCACATGTATTGCTGGACAGAATACCAACTGCATAATTGAGACCTAATTCAAGTTACTTTACTGTCAAAATAGTTTTAATGGATATTTTCAGTCAGTTGTGTCAGTTGTTCCGTAAAGTGTCCAAACAAGTGTCCATGTTTTTCTGTCCCTGCTCTTCTTTTACAGGTATGTTGTTTTTCTGGGGAAAATGAATGTATTGCCTGCACAGCTTAGATCAGAGAGTTGTGTTTTTTTGGACAGCAAAAATTCTGTCATGTTGGACGGTCAGGGACCTGTGAGGGTGTTGAAATGTCCAGCAAACAGGGATGATGCACAGCAGGAATTCTATTCCATTTTTAAACCTGGAGCACAAATAAACATTTTGTTCACAGCAGGCAGGTATAATGATAATGTGTCCATTCCATTAAGCAGCCCACGTGTCACTGTACATATGATGTATCATACCTCCAAATCCATCTTAACGAAATTGAATGCAAGCATTGTTGATATACCTGTGTTTTACCTCCGGTGACTCATCAGAATATCTGCATTAGGTCGCTCCATGGTTCTACTTTAAAAGCTGTTACCTTGCTAACATGTTGTTCACACTGTCCATCCTGCAGGAGTACACTATTGACGTCTTCTTCCGCCAGAGCTGGAGGGATGAGAGGCTTAAGTTTGATGGGCCTATGCAAGTTCTGCCACTCAACAACCTTCTGGCCAGCAAGATCTGGACTCCTGATACTTTCTTCCACAATGGAAAAAAATCTGTGGCCCACAACATGACAACTCCTAACAAACTCCTACGACTAGTCGACAACGGCACGCTTCTCTACACAATGAGGTGAGATCATTAGTCTTCAGTCGAAAGCGCCACTTAAGAATGGGATTATATCCCCTGCTGGATCTGGATATGGTCAGATGCACACTCCAGGGGAACATCAGTTTTTCCTAATTAAACTACTTTATAGTCCACTTAGAGAATTCTCTACATTTTTAAAGAGGCTCTTATATTACTTTATACGCATAATGTTATAAGCATAGCAGTCTGCTAGCACAACAAATTGGTGGAGAAGTAATTGTCGCCAAATGTCTGCCATACATCCTGTGATGATGCCTTTCACATCCCATTGGACCTGAAGCATCATTAGATTAAGGAAAATGGAATCTGTTGGTGCTTGCAGCCCATTTGAGCATGTAAATTACAATAATACTTCACAATATGACGGTTAAAAGTGTTTTGTCATGTACATGTACAAATTAAAACAGACAGCAGTTTTATCCAGTAATTATCCAAGATGCATTTAAAAATATGTAACATCTAGCCTGTTATTGCCCTGAGAGGAAGCAGGACAAGTTAGACATTTTAAGTTTAATTTAGGCTAATTTTGACTTTATAAGATTAATTTTAAGTTGGTAAAATAAAATAAATGTATATGTTTCCAGATGGAAGTGTATTTTACCTTACATTTCATGGAAGTCTTTAAGATTGTTGTTCCGACATTTAACTTATAAGCACAAATGGCAGGTTAGTGATGACCTCTGGATAGAGATAGATAAATCATTTTTGAAAAATCCCTGCAATGATGCAGGAGTACTATGACTAACAGCCAACCTGGACTTCATATGTTTCACACATAAACAACTAAGTTTATAATGCACGTTTTTACTGTGTATCTCATGCCTGAAGTACAATACACAGCATCAGCATCCCTCACAGTCACAAAACACAATAATGTACATGTCCAAAGCAGAAGTAATTGATATAATCTCATCGAGAACATTGATAAAACATTGACGCTGTCAGTCAGCCTTCCCTGCAGCTCTGCATCAGACCTATGATATTCATCTAAAAATCAATACTTACTCTCAGCTGTAAAGATAAATTAAAATAATTTAATTCTGTTGTCTCACGTGGGCAGATCAAATGTGACGGCATTTCTGTGTTGGCCAGCAAAGATGCACAGACTCAGAGTCTGTGCATCTTTGCTTTGCAAAAGCTAAAAATAACTCTTAGCTTTTGGCAATATTTATTTAAATAATGCTGGTTATTTCTGTCAATCGAACCAAAAAAATACACCCTAGAATACAGATTTGAAGAGCTAATGTGTAAAATGCCATTTCTTAACTCTAGAGTGCTGTGTTTTAAATAGCTACAGATAATTTTCAATGTTTTACATAATATTTGACTGCATGGTTAGAAGTTCTGTGTCACCAAAAAAGAGACTTTTTTTTTGCTCACTTCGCAGGTATAAAGCTTTAGGATGTAAATCCATTTCAACATGGCACCCAGTGTTGATTGGCACTCCCTTCCAGACAGCTGTTTAAATCCACTTAATCAGCACATCCACAGCCGCTGAACTGACAAATGCTGTTAAGGCCTCCTCTGTGCAGGACGGCATCATTGCTTTGAATGGATGGGGCTGCTTCGCCTGCCAGGGCTGCCGCAGTCCTGCTTCTGCGGGACCATTTATCATTCACTGTCTGTGTAACTCAAACTCTGAATTCCACGAGCGCTCGGTTTTTGACAGAGAGCGTGAATTTGTGTGGAAATTTAATTCCTCCATATCAAAGAACGGCTACGTTTGTTTTGTGGATAAGTTTCCGGACCGGCTGTGTCGGCATGAGAATACTGAAAAAGAAAATCACAACAGCTGTAAAGTCGTGTTTGAGGTGTGCCGTTTGTATTCTGCTATATGACGTCCGCTGGTCCAGTGATGCACAACGTCACACACTTACTGCACCATCACTTTACAAACAAGATACGGCATTATAACAGGCTTTATTACATTTATTGTAACTCCAACAATAATCCATTTAAAACTCAACTCTCCTGCTATAAACCTTCTGATAATCTTAAAATGGTTTGTTTATGACTATAACCTTTGTGAATGCTGGATAACTGCCCTTGATCATGACATAGTTCCCCTTTTCCTCATCACATCGTGCCACTTTTTCACTTATTATACACTCAGATGTGAATGTTTAAACAAGAAAAGGAGGAAAAATTATATTGAATTAGGATTACAGATGTATTCACTCTATATCTGTACTTTTCTAGATGCTATCATGCTGTCAAAGACAAAAACAGAACACGTCTCATGTGTCATCCCCACAAAACTCACAGTTTGGCTTCTCCAACACCACCCTGTGGCTGGTGTCAGCTTCTCATTTTATCAGTTTCACCTATTAGGTGGTCACGACTGGTTTCTCGAGCCTACCGTGTCAAACATCCAGTGTCTAAACTTCATCCTTTTGTAGATGTACTCTGCAGAAATCCTGAGTCATACCAATGATGCTCAATTTGATGATGATCTTTCATTGATCTTTCAATATTGGCAGCTTTTTTCTTTCTCTTTGAGCAAATGCTTTGAGCATTTCTCACATTTATTTCTTTTATACTGCATTTCTTGATTTTTCCCTGCCTTTAGTGGCCTTAAGAATATCATTACAGACTGAAGATGAGATGAATGTTATCAATTAGTGGCTGATTCTGTGTGCTGCGGGATGTGCAGAAGTGTGAAGCAAACGTTTGGTTTGTGTTTTATTGTTTTTATTGGTGCAGTTTTAAAGCTGTCTGTCAGTAATGAGACAGCACCAGACAGCAGCCAGGAGGTGAGAAAGAAGAAAAAAGGGCTGAGGCTTGTTATAAGAGGCAACAGAAGGAGTTCATTAGAAACAATAAGTTTCCCTGTTGAAGTATGCTGTGAGGGTTATACTGAAGGTACAATAAAGTTTACATTTTTAAAGATTAGTAACATTAAAACCAAATGACCGTGGGTATTACATTACAGGTCTAATCAAACACTTTGTTGAAGCTAGTTCATTTTGTATGAGGAACAATATAAATATCAGATCAAACACACGCAAGAACTTGTCCATCTGTATTTAGCCGTAGAACATTTTGTTCAGCATAGTTTTTTAAAAACGATATCTCAAGGTAAACTAACTTTACTCTATGCTCATTTATTATTGACAGTCCTGGTAGTTTTAATAAGCCAACACTGGCCTGAAGTATGTACTATGAAAATACATTACTATCATTTTACATAACCCAATCTGTGTTGCATTTAAAAGTGGCATAATCCACTCAAGGAAGATTTTTATGGAACTTTTTATTGTTTGAACTTGAATATTGATTGCAGATGTATGAGTGACTTCATATAAATTATAGTATACATATTTCTGGTTGTCTAAGTGCTTTTTAAGGCCCAGTCACGATGGGATCCATTGAAGTAAACTCTGATCCTCGTCAGTCAGATGATTTCAAAGTCCCTTATGCCTGCGGATTCTACCCCATATATACAGTTCACGTTGTGATTAATGCAGAAACTGTCATGATGTAGTGATGCATGATGATTACATCTGCCAAGGACCTTCGCAGCATGTGTGACAGTAAATGTTTGCCCATGAAAAAGCTCTCCATGATGTATGTGGGGACATTTGTCGTGATGTGTTGGTAATGCTCGCCACATCCATTTTGCAGCCTGATGGGTGAAATGTTTTCTCTCCCCTCCCCGCCCTCAGACTGACCATTCACGCAGAGTGCCCCATGCACCTGGAGGATTTCCCGATGGATGCACATGCCTGTCCTCTCAAGTTTGGAAGTTGTAAGTCATCCCAGATGGTCACAGTGTAATAGAGTTTAATAGAAATTGTTCTTCACAGGTGTCAGGGAGCATTCCTTACGCCTTCCAGGGAGATTTTTAATCTTCATCAAAACAGGGCTAAACGCAAAATGCCTGGTACATAATTGGCTAATTAGGATTTTAGATATCTGTGCTGTAGAGCATACAGTGTGTTGGTGTAGTCCTTGGACCAGATGCATATAACTGTGTGTGATTTCTGCCTGAAAACTGCGAGCAGTAGCAGTACTGTACACTCTGCAGTAAGCCTGTGCACAAACATGGTTTCCACTCCCATTTTTAGCCACAAATAGTTTCATGTAATAATATAACATGCATCACAACTAATAGACGTGATTCTGAAAGCATCTTTACTAAACGCAACGCCGAGGCACTCTTCAGCGAGGCGGAAAATATTAATTCTGTTCCATTTAACCTCACTTTAGTACAACAGTTGAAGCAATCACATCAAGGTGGACCCATAAGTGTTTTTTGAAAAAAAGAAAGAATATAATGTGTGGGTTAGTAATGGGAAAACTTGCATCAGACACCAGCAGAGCTGCATATGGAGGACTCACAAGTTCTGTTTTTATCTGTAAGGGATAAACTTATTACCTGTGCGTCGTACAGTTGTATTAGAACGATGAGAGGGAGACACAGATGTACAGATGGTGCATGTTTGCTTTAAACATACCTGTAAGACTACAACAGAACATGAGCCAGTCTTGTGCCAGATAAAAAGAACGATACTAGTCATGCGTCATACTGGTCTTACGTCTTACACAGGCATTAAACACAACCGTGACTCACAGCAACTGTTGTTGAGTATAGTAGAAAATCTATTTTAAAAAATATATGAAATAGTCCCCATCAATTCTGTCACTTTTTTCTTACGATTCGACTTGATTTCACGCTCCAGTTGCCTCAGTTCTGGAAATGACCAGAAATGATGTATGTGCCGATGTAAAAGCGAGGTAATAGGTACAGCGGTACGCCGGCTTTTTTTTACATTTAGTTTTTTTTCCCTCCCCTCAGAACTTGAGATCTCTAACCGACTTGTGGTTCAGGTAGTGTGATGTTTACACGTTTGAGCTGAACTACAGCACCCGGCACAGCTGTCCCTGTGCTCGTTCTGGTCGGCCTGCCATGGGATTGTCAAAAAGTCTTTTTTAATTCTGCTGTCATTACTCAGCCTTTATTTTCTTTGTGTGTTGGAAAAATACAAAATAACAACAGCTCATCTTAATGTCCACGTTTTCTAGATGCTTACACAAACAACGAGGTGATTTACTTGTGGACCCAGGGAGACGAGCGGTCAGTGGCTGTGGCAGAGGACGGCTCCCGGCTCAACCAGTATGACTTACTGGGTCACGTTACTGGGAAAGAAACCATCAGTTCCAGCACAGGTACACCTTGTTTTCAGCAGAGAACACAGGAAGCAATACATTAATTCAGATTTAGTGCACTAGCTGTTAGTTCCAAAGGCTTTTTCCTGACAGGACTATGAGCTGAGCCTACAGTTTGGAAAGTTTCACAGCAGTTCCACACACCAATTTCTGTTTTAATGTATCTGAAAGCAATGAAAGAAAACCACTGCATCATGGAGTGATACTTCTACCTCTGCTATATAATTTCAGCTTTTCAGCCTCTACTTTTTGTTAAATGAAACTGTCCTATTCATTTTCTACTGGCTTACCCAGCACTGCTGGGCATTTTTCATACCAGAGCTGTCTGCACTTTTCTGCTTTCTGGCATTTCAAATTCAACTTAGATTGTTTGGGTCCATCGAGAAAATTACAGCTGTTATCAGTTTTCAGAGAAACTACTCAGCATATTTACAAAGATAATATCTAGACACGTGGAAAAGGTGAAAGCACATTTTCTTTCTTATTGGGATCATAGCCCCAAGCCAGCTTTAATAACAGAAAAATTAAAGGGAATATTTTCCAGCCCAGTGGCTTTGACTACATAATCATTTCTGCACTTCAGCACCACTGTTGCTTCTTTTGTTAGTGGCACTCAAAACTTGTGTGAAAATTCAACAAAAACATGAAAACGCAAGGTTTCAGCCATAATATTATGACCACTTAATAGAGGAATGAAAAACTTTTATGATCTTCTCACAATGACAAGGTCTTGAGTGAAGAGGCTGCCCCTGATGATAACATGTTGAAATTAGAAATGAATTGTTGACTGTGATTATTTCAGTGACTTAGCATGGGCCTGATCCAGCCAGTTAAACATCTGGGTCACAGGATCGCTACAACTGCTTGTAAATACGTCCAAACTGGCCAGGAATAGAATAAATAGAAATCAAGGCTTAAAGAGGGACAATTTTTTAACCTATGAAAGGATCGTGGGGCATTTAAAAATGGAATTAAAAACACATTTTCTGACCTGAATGGGGCTGTATGGCAGTAACCGACATGTGAGCACTTGGACGTCCTGCCTTTCACCCCCTGAACTGCATTACATGATATGTGGCTTATTTCAGGATAATTTCCCCTCCCTGCTTCGCTACAAATAGAGATGAGGAATGGATATGGGAGCCCAAGTATTCAGTGTTGACCGTGCCTCCCAATTTTCAAGGTCCAATTCCTGTCGAACATTTGTGGGGGGTGCTGAACAAACCAACCCAGATGGCTCAAACTCTGATTATTGCAGCCTAATATTGCAGCATATACATTTCCATAAGTCAGGGCTGTAAAACATCTATTTGTTTTGAAAGGGCAGGTACGCCTAGGCTTTTCAGCAGATTGTAGATTTAAATCCAGCAACTTTAGAATGTGTCTTGTGTATTTTATTACATCCTTGACTATCATAAGATTCCCATTAAGGTACAGCACATCGATCAGCAGCATAACAGTACGAAAAGACTGGATAAATCTAACTGCAAAGTTCAAGATAAAAGACTCCTGTTAATAACCTAAAGAAAGAAAAATCAGCTTTCAGCCGAGCCACCCTCTGTTCCCATTTTTAAAGAGATTTAATCTGCAGTGTAGCTGTTTGCTGTGTAGCTCTCAGGGGCTGAGTTACAGCCTCAGAGATCTGTCAGACTTCAGTTGTGTTGGGAGACTTACGAAAACATGATTCTGCTTTGTTGCCACTGTCTGAGGAAGTGCTCGTGTTTAAATAAGTGCACTTGCTTAACTCTTCAGAGAGTGCCGTCCCTGAGCCCCGGTTAATTATTATGCTGCTTGCTGGATTCAGCTTAAGTCAGGAAAACTGCAAATATATCTGATGGAAAAAGAGAAGTTTTGCAAGTAACAAAGTGGGCTCAGTGTGGCTCTTTTCGCCAACTACTTCAGTTTATGCATGTCAGAAAATCTCATTCCTCCTGACTTTGAATTTAATGGACTACAGTGAGCTGAGGAAACGGAGGGCCTCTTCAGCCCTGGCCAGAATCTCTTTTCAGAGCGAAACCCTCGGGGAAAGGGAGGTTGTTTTTGTCATATCTCTGCTACACAGATTGCAAACATGGCAATGACAGTCAGCGCTGAGGGAAACTGAGAATTTGTTTTAGCTGCCACCAGTGACAAACACAAATGGGTGCGAATAATTCAGGCATAAATTTGTTCCCTCTACAGTGAATATATCAACAGGAAAGTGTAAAGTGATATGCCAAGCAACTTCTCCATTTTTACAACTCCAAGGTCTGAAACTGCTCCTTTAGGGAAGGCAACATTTAAACTTTACTATCTATCCAATTACAGGATGGGGGCATCTGCACTAAAATAAAACTTGCCTGGTGGAGTATATTTTTTCCTCTTCAGAACAAACTTTGTGACCTTATCTCAAGGTTTCTGCCCTATTTGCTTTTTTATTGCAACATTGAATTACTTCAACCAAACTGAATCAAAAAATCTGCAGCAGTGATGCACTTTTCAAATATTTTTTCTGTCATTTAATAGCATCCCTTTCGATTCAAACTAACTCGTGTTTCTGAAAATAGCCTAATTTAAAGAGAAGTGAAGCTTAGTCACCAGTGGACAACTTTTTGTTCACTGATGAGGGCTTTTATAACAAACAGGGCTTCTTTTAAATAACAGTTTCTGTTTCCACAGTTCATTTGTTACTCCCAGGCTTGCTTATGTTAATCATTTTGACCCTGTTTGTCTCTCTCCATTTCTTTCTTCTCTGCTTCTCTCCTTTCCTCAGGAGAATATGTTGTGATGACAACATATTTCCATTTGAAACGGAAAATTGGCTATTTTGTGATTCAAACCTACCTGCCGTGCATCATGACTGTGATACTGTCTCAGGTGTCCTTCTGGCTCAACAGAGAGTCCGTTCCTGCACGCACTGTTTTTGGTGAGTTGCGTCTTGTGTTTTAAATCAAAGTAACATGACTGCCCCATTAATTGAGCCATATGATTGTAAAGAGAGCTATGAAGAAATATTTTAGAGAAAATGCACTAGCTAACATGGTTAAAACTGTTGCATTGGTTGACAAAACATGAATAAATTGTCTTTATTTCTTAGAAAATGTTTTGTACATTTCAAATGAAAACTTCAACATAACAAAAAATAGGTATTTATAAGAATATCTCATCTTAAAACCAGCTGTGTTTTACCTAAGATCAGAGAAAATAGGTGCTCAGGAGTCTTTTTTTAATGCAAAGCACATGTTGCATCATTTTACTCAACTATGCTGCTCCATTTGTACCCTGACCAATAATAGGTCCAGTTTGTGCATTCACTGTTGTAAATGTCAAGAACATCACGTCCAATTACATAATAATTTATTCAGAAATGAAATGCAATAATTAGCTTTTTAATTCAGAACAATGGCATACGTTACACAATGGATGTTGAACTGTATGCAAATGTATGCAAGAGAGGCTCATAATGAAAAATGGTCTCTCCATCTAACCACTAGCCTAAGAACAAAAAAGTAAAAGCCAGTGACAACAATTCGTTAACATCATTCATTTAGAACAAAGAAAAAATGTCACAAGTTTCAGACACATTTTACTATTTCATGAAAATTATTGGCTCATCTTGAAGTCAATTCTCTTTGAAAATGGAAACACCCGTCGCTAACGTGCTGTCACACCATCAGAGATTGCAGACGTTTTTAAGCATTTTGGCACTCCCATCAAGCCCAAGATGAGCCAGTATCTTTCAGGAAACAATCAAATGTGACACTTTTTATGTTCTGTTATGGATAAAAGGGTCGTTTGGTTTATGAGCCTTACAAAAAAGCCAATTTTTCTTTCTGGAATGTGAAATGATCTGCAAAATAGTACAAAGTTTACAATCGTTTCTAGATTAATTCATCTTTAGTAAAAGATTTATGTTGTTGGCTTTTCACATTCTAAAGTGTGGGGTAACCTTGGACACAGCCAATGTGGTTGTTTGAGCAAAACATATGCAATGCTAGATCTCTCTTTGTGGAAGGAAAGTTCCTTTTTTTTCTACAACTTGAATTTTAATATGTTTTATATTAATTATTTGTATTTTTCCTTGTTACTTAGTTTTAATTTATTTTTCCTCAGTTGAAATTGATCTTCCTCCATAACTCCATAAGACTCAGCATCACCCATCATTAATAATTCATGAATGAGACCAGGTTCCAATCAGAATACAGTTCAAAACTTTCTTTATAACTATTCCATGCATTGAGAACTAGCTCCTGCTAGTTTGAGCTTGAAGGGTTGACCTAGTGCACTCGCAGTGTTTATGCACCACTGAATCGTGTCATCAGTGTGAGGCTGAACTTTCTGATTTCAGACAGTTATGTAATGCCCTGCAGCTCAGCACACCAGAGCATCATTTAGCTCCAAACTTTTTACTTGAGTCTAACTTTGCATCCAAAACCTAATTAGCTTATTGATTTTGACAATACCATACTTTAACTTTTAACTTTTAAACTGCTGAGTTCGCTAGTTTTCAGGAGAGAAGCCATAAAGTAAACAGCAATGAGAATGGAGAGCTGTGATGGCAAAATTTGATTCAAGTTGAAGGAAAAACTTTCCGAGATTTTGCTTTAAAAGGAAATGTTTACTTATCTTGTCCTTCTGTCTTCAGGGGTCACCACTGTCCTAACCATGACCACCCTGAGCATCAGTGCTAGAAACTCCCTCCCTAAGGTGGCCTATGCCACTGCCATGGACTGGTTCATGGCTGTGTGTTATGCCTTTGTCTTCTCTGCCCTGATTGAGTTTGCTACAGTCAACTACTTCACCAAGCGCAGCTGGGCATGGGATGGGAAAAAAGAGGGCATGGAAATAAGGGTGAGTGACTAATGATATAGCATGTTTGACGCCCGCACTTCTGAAATGCACAGCACAGCACACACCTCGAGATTAAACTGAATGCAGGACCTCAGTTGAAAATAGTCTCTAGCTCTTTTTTCGCTGTGGTTGCTAATTATGTTCCGACTTTGACTTTAACGTCAAAGAAAAACTCAAAAGTTGTGCTGAAAGTCGTGGTTTTACACGGTGGGAGCCGTGAGGGGAAATTAGACTTTGGGAACACACTAAATTTCCCTTTTTAACGCAGCCTTGAGTACTTTACAAAAAGTATAAAGAGACCCTTTATTTATTCATTGCCAGCCAAATGGAACAAGAACAGTGGGGCGGAACAGTGAGCGGAAACAGACATAAACTCCCAGAGACATTGGCCCTGATTTACAGCAACAGCATATGCTCGGCTCTTGTTCCAAAACGCTGGCGTCCTGACATCCACGTTAGAAAGAGCCTGCATGAAACCCGACGAGTCACAACTCGTGGGTGTTTTTTTTCTTATGTTTGCCGTGCATGAGAATAGAGGAACCAAAAAAAAAGAGATTTTTCATTAAAGCAGTGAGGTAAAAAGACAAGTTGGTTTTGAGTGTTTAAGCGTGTTCCTCTCTGTAATTGACCAATTTAAAGTAGCGGCTGGAGAGCAAACAGCCAGCTGGGAAGGTAGGTTAAGATGTGTTTTATATAAATAATGAATGATGTGTTTCTCATAACTGCAACACTTAAGGATACTTAGAATTTTATATTTTATGTTTCTAAAGCGATCGTGCTAAACTGCTAAACAGAAACGATCAGCGGCTAGGGACAGTATAAGAGAAAGTTTGAAGAGTTCTGGCTGTTTTGAAGATAGCTAAACTACAGCTTTGCATCATAAGGCTGAATCACTAATAAGCTGATATTCTGTGATGATTTGATTCAGTGTTAATTAATTGACAAGAAAGTCCAACTACAAGAAGTCAGAATTTTGCTAATTAAAACATTTTGTTGAGATTTTGTTTTGTAGATAAGTAATTTGATTGGATCCGTTATATAATGAGAAAATGTCAGAGTGTAGTTGGATGTAAGTTGCCGACAGCGGCATGTTTTTGAAGCTCAGGCTTTAAACAGTGAAATTAGATCATTTTTACCCTTCTTTTCCACAAATTCAATTCCATTGACTTGAAGTATTGTTTTCAACTGTTGCTTATTTTTTCATCATGAAGAGTTTCAAACATTTTAATTGAATATATTCTGTGCACGTCGAAGGCTCAGGCTTCATGCTGCTTTGAATGATTCATTTGCAAGGTTGCTTCTTTTTGCTCCTGTCTCCCCGCGCATGCTCACAAAAATATGTCCCGATGTTGTGCGTTGGGTTGCGGGGGATTATGTGGTGTTTGGGCTTAAACTCAAGATTTATAAAAAAAAAATAAGCAGACATTTTTTCTGTATCTTTGGCCTGCAGAAGCCTGCTAAAGGACATCTCTAAGCAGCCGTTCAGAATGGAGGGGTCTAATCAGGACATGGCAGCAGCCATAACAGCCTGCCTCACACTGTCTGAGCCACTCTGAGTTCAATAAGATCCCTACAGTCCAGAATAAACTGCGAAGCTGCTAGCATAAACAAGATAAACATGTACACAGAAGCTCAAACCGAATTAAAAGGTTTACCTACTTGGATGATTGGGGAGCAATCATGATAAACTAGATATACACAATCCAAACTATGTCAGTGGTAAAATTATGTTTCCGGGTTGCTGTTGTAGCACATAAAAGTGATTATCCGCATTTTGAGATGCAACAAAAGAAATTCATTTCTGTGGTGACAGTGTCACAAATCTTTTTTTTTTTTTTTTTGCTTTCTATGTACAAACAGGTTGACACAATCAGTGCAGCGTTTCCAGACTTTTTATTTTTTCATGGCTTGACATTTGGTCTTCAGAGTGACAGACAGAAATGCATACTGCTGCCGTGGAACTTTTCAGTCGGCAGGGATCATTTTCCCCCCCTTTTGAAGGTTCTTCTTAATGGCAACAGCCCGGACTGTGTTCTCGTGGGTTGTGCTGAGCACACAGTTGTCATGATAGATAAAAAAAAAAGAAAAGAACGGGGTCACAGAACGCGACGCTTCCATCAAACTCCCCGCAAGACTGAACAACTGAGAGCAGAGCCATCAGATTTCTTATGGAGCGAAAATTGAATTAAATAGGAGGAGAAGCTTTATGAGGAATGGCGCTTTTCAAGAAAGTCTTTTTAGCTCAGAAAGTTTTCATGGCTCCAGCTGCCGCTTGGGTCGTCAAATGGTGAGTTTGAGACAAATCTCTGCAAGCTAATTCCCTTTGCTGCCTATGGATTGTCCACGCCATTTTTCTTTCTCTCTGTTCACCTAACATTGTTTGACGAGCCCTCTGCCTAATTAGCTCTCCCCCCGCCAGCTGAGGGTGCGCTCATTACAGGAATTAGCTTGTGTGGAGCTTCTGGTGGGGAGGCCTGTGAATTCTCGCCTCTCCGTGACACGTGATTGGACGCCACGGTGCGAGATATTAGGCTCTGTCTGCTTCAGCGGTGGCGGGAGAATCGGCTGATTTTTCCGTGTGTCCACACCTGCAACACAAACGGCTGCATGCACGTGCGTTTTTGACTAAATTGCCTCTTTGAAAACGCGGCCCGCCGCCGTCTCCTCCAGCAGCTGCGTGTCAGCAGGGCAACGCCGAAGGGAACAACTTTTACGGAGGATGTTCTCGGGAACTCAGGTGGGGAAGATAAAGTGGAGCTACCATCTCTGAAGCCACGCTGTTAGTAGCTTTTTAGATCGGAATTTTTCCACACCTTTGTCGTTTTATGTGGAGGTTTTATAGTTGATTATTCGCCTCATGGGAAGCTTGTTCGAACCGCTTTAATAAAAACCTTTTGCAACACAGTAAAATGAAGTTGTTGTATCAGAGTTATTGTCTGAAACGAGGCAGATGTACATCATTAATAGTTATGAGAATGGGATAGGTGTCTTTCAAAATTCGTCTGTGAAATAAAAGCAGTAAGCACAAACAATGGAGATAGATGGAAAGCAAGTGAAAGTGAAGCATATGTGTTTGAAGTGTTTTCAGCAATTTGGGTTTTACACCTCCCTACAGATAAACAAACACACTGGGCACAAACGGGGAAGTGTTGGCTCCCTAAATCCACAGTCTCACACACCCTCACGCTCCAGTACTCGAGGCTATTAAATATGCCAGCACCTTATCTCTAATCATGGAGGGGGACAGGCTGGCCCAGGCTTCAGTTTCATGCACACATGCACTCAATGAGCCCCAAACAGTGGGGCACAGCCAGGCACGATCACCCCAAGGATACATCATCACACTATGAAATTCTGAAGCAACAACTTGCTGAAGTTAGAAACACAAGGTCAAAAGATGTGTTTCTCTCCTTTTTTTTTGCCTACAGCCAGTCCAATCAGTCTAGATATACACAACCGTGTTTGGGCAGAAGTAAATGATGTGCTGCGTCACATTAGGTTCATAAAAAAAAAACACGCACACAGCCCAGTGCTCCAGACGGTTTCCCCAATAATTAGACCGTATAAATTACCTCAGATGACAGCCCAGCTAAAAAGCAACAGAAAATGACTCGGCACCGCTCATTTGTCAGGTTACTGTGCAAAGAACATTTTTAATGCCAATGACTGAGGAGTCCAGAGAGCTGTGATTAAGCTCACGTGACACGATATAGTGGTAATTAGTTTTCCTGCTGATGTAGGCCTTTCTTTTCTGACAGAAATGGCTTGGGGTGTGGTAGATAGAAAGGACTGGTTGTTTGGTTATCATCAGAGAGACCCTCATCTGTCTGCCAGCGCTGTTAGCCTTCAACCAGACTTGCTGTCAGCGCTGTGGAAAGAACTGTTTTCTATGACATATTTCTCTTTCCTTATCCTTCTGCTTTTATCAGCTTCATCTAAAAGTCCAAAAGAATGTGTTAACATATTTGTGAGAAGTGCTGTTTCTCTGTTTCTAAAATATGTCGTTGAAAAGAATTGTGGGCATTGTTGACCCTGGAAAAAGCTTTTGTTAGTAGCTGTGTGCTGACAGAGTGGAGCACGCTGCATGAGGGAAAGAGAGAACATTAGCTATTCAAATATTAAAAGTGGAGAGAAGGAGACATTAAAGGCCGGAGTACAAAGTTCAATGAAAAAAATCAAACTTGGCCTAACGCAAAAGTATTAACTGGAAGCACTGATGATAGAACACCTCTCTTATCGCATTTCAGAAACTCCACGCTTAATTCACTCCTCCTCTCATGTCTCAATCCATCCTGCTAAAACCGTGGGCAGAGGAGTCCAGGGGGCAGTAAAATGAGACTTTCTGGCTGTAGAGGGTCATTTCAAAGCAATAAAAGTTACAGGCAACAAATGTCCAATCTGCTCTTTGATCTTTTTTTCACAAAGTATATTTGGTTTTGATTCAACATAGAGTGTAAGATATTAGTACAACATGGATGTGGATATAAGCAGAGGATAGACTGAGGTGAGCTTCAGTCCTCCAGGTGCGTTTTAGGAGTTGGGACAGCCATCAAAGCATTTGGCTGGGAATGATTCCTGTGCGAGAAGCAGAAAGGTGAAGGAGGGAAGAGGCAAAGGAGGCTGACATCACGCAAACGAGATGAGCCTCCTGTTACCTGACAGGCACTGTTTTAAAGTGGCCACTGTGGGGATAAACGGCAGCTGGAAGGAAATTTCCACAGTACCAACTCACTCGCCGAGGGCCACACAGGAAACCAAAAGTCTGCTTGGTAATCAATTTCTGTGTCCCACTCGTTGGCCGACATGCACCACGGGGGCCACACCATGCTCCAGTGGGCTGCCTGGACCTTCAAGAGACGTCCGATTAATTAAGTGAAAGTGCCAATTTAGTGAATAAAGTTGTGTCTTCCGGTGCGATTTGCTAAAATGAAAGACAGACTAATGGTGACTTTCGAGTCAGGGGACGACAGCGGACTCTCCAGCTTGCATTATCTCACACAGCTTTTGTCGTGTTCGTTCTATCACAAGCTGTTTGCCTGAAGAGGCCTGGCTGCTCTCATTGATACAGTTTGTCAGACACGTTTCCAGGCACCGTTTTTTCTTTTTTTCTCTTTTTTCTTTTGCGTTGCTTTGTTTCTAATCCTGCTCTGAGCTGTTACTGCTACTGTTAGCAGTACCAGACGCCAGTACAGCCTGGTTCTGCAACGATGCCAAGTAGAACTGTTCTTGATATCCCCAACCTGATCATTTTGTCATGATTTTTTTAATTCATGACATTATTTTTTGTCTGCAATCCAAATTTGAATGATGTAGCTTTGATTTGACAGTTTTAACAGTGTAAAATGTTCAAAGTCAAAGTTTCAGTGAGATACTGGTGAATAGAGTATGTAAGTTGGGTAATTTTAATATAATTGGTAAACTTTTTTTCTTTTCTACTTTTCTTTTCAGGAACCGTTTCAGGCTAACATGGCCAGGATTAAAGATATGGTTAGGCTTTTGTTTTGTTCTTGTGTGTGTCGTGTCTCGTGGTGTTGCTTCTATTTCCTCTTGATGAGTTCAAATGGAAGTATTGTTTAGTCTGGTGCTTCGCCACTGACCCCGTTTGCTGGCTTCTTCCTTTTCAGAGAAGAGAGTCTGCCACGTTGTCCAAAAAGACCAACAACACCTTCAACATTGTCGGGACCACCTACGCCATGAACGTGCCCAAAGACCAGGGACTGACAACCATTTCCAAGAGCGCCCCGGGACCATCAGCCAGACACTCGTACCTGCACAGAATGGACGACCCCTACACAGAGGCCAAGAAATCCTACAACCGCGTCAGCAAAGTTGACAAAATATCGCGCATCATTTTCCCAATTCTGTTCTTCATCTTCAACTTAGGCTACTGGGCCACGTACGTCAACAGAAAGCCTGCCATCATGAAGGCAAACAACCAAAACTGAATCCTACCAAATAGCCCGGTTTGCTTGGGGAAGGTTGAAAGATTGATAGAAGGCCAAGTCCATTGCATTTTAATGTGTGCGTATGTTTGTGTGCGCATGTATCGTGAGTCTGTTTTATCCTTTTTTTTTTTTCTTTTACATTTGATATGTTGCTGCAAGGCAAAGTTCAACATGCATAAGATTCACATGTAGTGGTGAACCCTGGAGGAAGCATATTCTCACATCGGTCTGTGTATGTGTAGCGTTGTACTTTTTTCCTTCCCCATTTCGCTCTGGCCCTGTTCCCCCCTTCGAGAGGTACCACAAGTTCCAAGTTCCAAGCCTAGATTGTTTGCCGTTTCGTAGAGTAGTCAGACTGTGCTTTCCCCACGTTTGGACACGTTTGTGTTGTAGAGCAAGCAGGCATTTTAAGTTTCCACCGCTCATTACCAGTGATAAGGCGCTGACACATCCACTGAGTAGACAACACGTTTGCACACGGACACACAACGATGCAACAGAAAAAGAAGGCAGAGCCGCTCTCTGGTCACATTGCTGTGCTCGGTTAGCTAGGCACAGCCTGTATAGACTTTATCATTAATAATTGTCAGCGTCTGGCTTTCAGCTCCTGCTGAATATCAGTCCCAATGCCCACTCCACATGTTCTAGTCCACTTGTTCTTATTGTTTTTAACTGGCTGATTATGGTTCAGTGACAGATAAGCTATGTGCCTTGGTAAATACGCTCATCACAAAGATAAAGGCTGGAACATGCTTAAACTCACATTTCCGACACATTCATGCGCAAAAGCCAGCGTCTGTTTAACATGCAGACATTCACTGGTATCCACTGGGCTAACACACTGCATTATATCGACCGGCTGGCGGATAAGGGCGCAAAAGTGTAAAGCTGCCTCTCAGTGTGTAATGTGAACAGATCTCTGCCTATGAAAAGATAAAGCGAAGAGTTAAGGATGTGATATCGTCAGTCATGTGCATTTATGTTTTGACTCGTGGTGCAACGCATCCATGAGCTGAGCAGTCACAACACAACGCCACCATTACCTCAGATTTAAGGGTTGATGTTCAGTGTCTGTATTTCATAGAGGTGTAATTTACATTAGATGTTTCATTCATTCATACCAGATAATTCGGTTTTATTTGACTCGGTTATTGTTGCCGCTCCATAAGTTTCCTACCCAGCCAAAAAAAGTTGATTTTTGTCATTCTTTTATACTCTGTTGTGTGAAGTGTGTTGGTGCTCATTTGATTCTCGACATATGCCGTGTTGGTTTTGTGTTAGCTTGTAGATAACAAATGCCAATATGCCACAATCAAATAAGAGTCATTATTGGAGATAATTATACAATAACATCCTGTCAAATAAATTGCCCAGTTCTCCACCTATTTATTTACTGGTTTAATCATCCAATAGATTATTTTGGAGCAGGTGGTCTCCGCACTGACAAACGTCTCAAACTTTTTATCTCCATTTGATTCGTGGCATCTGTATATGTGTGTGACAATCTTTAGCTATGTGTTTAATTTGGTACATGTTTAAAGAATGTTTCAGCTACTTATTTAGCAAGATATGCTTGATATTTGTTGGTTGTTTTCGGTATGCCGTGGGATACGCCAAACATGAGACCCCAGTGTGCAGTCCATCTAGTCCGACAGTAAGTTGAACCCTGGAGAAAGAGTAGCTTGCATTGTGGACTCTGTAAAGATTTGTTAATAACAGAAGTGGTGTGCAGTGTATCAGTCATAGGTCGATGCATGACAATCTGTGCACATTCATGTCTGCGCTCCTTAACCTGCAGTAATGATGTTTGCCATAACGAAATAGGCCATGGTGTCGGTGTTCCTGTAGTTCAATCCAGTCACTGTTACTCACACACAACCACCTGCTTAATCATTCCTGAACTCCATTTGTGCATATCGATGCGACGCTTGTACACCCTGAGCAGATTTCTGAGAGTGTTTCAGAATTCATTCCAGGTTTCCTTCGGTGAACGTCAAATTAAGGATCCATGGATGAAGCGCTCATTTGCTATTCATTTCTTGATGACTAACTGTTGGGAATCGTAGGGAGTTATGTGGTGTCGGTCTACCAAACTCAGCCTTTGAAGTGATTTTAATTACGCTTTAGAAAGGTCTAATCAAAACATGTCAGGAGTTTTCATGACGTGTGATGATCCTACTTCTTCTGCAGAGGAGCATCTCCCGTTAATCTTTGCCTCTGACAGCAGTCAAAACACTTTAGACTCGCATTGCAAATGTGATAGAAGCCAATTATAAAATCAAATGTTCATAGAGATAGAAACTAATGTGATAATCTTTATTTCAAAACACCTCAACCAGCCCTAGTTTCTGAAAATACAAAGTTTTTAAGATTCAGTGATTTCGTTCACTGTTTCTATTAAGCAACCAATGAATCCAAACGTTATCATTTTGTCTTAGGGTGATGTCTCATACATCTGCTGATAGTCAATTAACCTTCCATGTAAATTTACATGGATCCCCTTGAAAGTCTGATTTCTGACACAGGAAAACACATTAAAAAAAATTAATTTTAGTCAAATAAGTATTTTTATGACCACCCTCCTTATATGAGTAATATGATTTTAAAATGTTTATTACTATCAGAAGTATAATCTTATTGAGGGGATTAAAGGCTTGGAAATTTAGCCGCTATCAAATGTCTTAATGGTATAAATGGGGTTTTATTTAGATTGAGTATTTTTCTGCTGTTTGTTTCACATTTGTTATTGCTTTCTGCACTACATTTCTTCATCATATTCATATTTGATTATTATGTCTGTGCCACAGATACCAAACTTTAACACATTTCCAGATCAGACCAAACTGTTGCAATCTATTTTTATTATTATGGTCATATAGTTCAGTATGAGCGGTTACATTTATCAAACATTATCATTTATTCAAACATTTAGATTTGTACCCCCAAATGCCAGAGCAAGCAACTGTGTAATGGAGAAAAAAATGGCAGATTATTGATGAACTTTTACATGAATAAGTAGACTTACATTGTGTAGTGATGCACGTGTACATCTGGCAAACAACCATCTATGATAATCCTGAATTTAATTTTAATGTAGTTTATGATCCACAGGAATCCTGTTGCCAATCAGGTTTGGCTTAAATTGATTTGTTCACGTGTCATTTTCCTCACAGGGCAAGAGTTAACTTTAGTAAAAACACGTCATCCTATATACTAAGATACAGTATATGAAGAGTATAATACTATTGATATATTTATGCTATCTAGAACAGCATTAAATATTATGTTTTATACAAAATAACCTCTACAGCATTGATGCAAACCTCTTGATGCGTAGGAAGCAGTAGACTAATAGTTCAACTAAACAAATTATTAATGGAAACAATTCTAACTGCTCTGAAAGTGTTACTAAGTTGTGAATTTGTAGATATTGTGAAATCAATTCAGATAGTTTTTGTGAATATTGATATGTCATGTCACTTATTTTTACATCTAATGAATACTGCTGTTTTACATTGAGCTCTGTAACACTACGTGTTATGGTATTATGACAAAGTACAGTAGAGATACAGTAATATTCATCAAGCTACATACAAGATACATACTTTGTGTGCACTTTTCAAACTTAACTGTGAATTAGCAGCTGTCTGCAAGCAGAGTTGTACACACTGTGTTCTTCTTCCAGCAATTTCACTGCATGTCCCAACGCATCAAAGAGAGAACAAAGACTTCCTCCACACAGACGGCTCCGGGAACTTTGTGGACCTTTGGTTTTCTTGTTGGGAAGTTGCTCTCTCTATGCTCAGTGACTGGACTCTGTATCTTGCTCTCTCTCGTTCATGTGCTTACTGTATGGGATGTAGCCAATGAAACTTGAGATTAAAAGGACAATGTATTTTGTCTCGGAGTCAGACAGTCATTCTTGGTCACATCTCACAAGTATGAGTATTTACCCTCTGTCCAGGGTGTACCCGGCCTCTCATCCCTGTCAGCTGGGATGGGCTCCAGCGGTATAGATAATGGATGGATGGATGGATGGATGGATGGATGGATGGATGGATGGATG